AAAGAGAGAGAGAGAGAGCGAGAGGAGGGGGGGAGTCAGGTGCAAACGGTGAGAAGAGAGAGAGGATGTGAGAGAGAGAGTGAGAGAGGGGGGGGTGTGAAAGAGAGGAGAGAGGAGGGGGGAGTAGTGGAGGGAGAGAGTTGGAGGAGGGGGTTGAGAGAGAGAGAGAGAGGGTGGGGGTTGGACAGATGGGGGGGCGTGAGAGAGAGGAGGCAGAGGGGGGGGGATAGTGAGAGAAGAGAGAGAGGGGGGGGGAGTGAGAGGAGAGAGAGAGAGAGGGGGGGGGATACGTGAGAGAGAGAGAGAGAGGGGGGGGGAGTGAGTGATAGGGAGAAGAGAGAGGGAGAGGGGGGGGAAAGGGGGGGGTGAGAGAGAGAGAGAGAGCGAGGGGAGAGTGGGGGGAGACGTGAGCGAGGAGAGATGAGAGGGAGAGAGAGAGAGGAGGAGTGAGAGAGAGAGCGAGGGGGATGTGAGAGAGCGAGGAGAGGGGGGAAGTGAGAGAGAGAGTGAGAGAGGGGGGGGGGGTGTGAGAGAGAGAGAGAGAGAGAGAGGGGGGGGTGAGAGAGGAGAGTAGGGGGGAGTGAGGAGAAGAGAGAGAGAGTGAGGAGAACGATACCAGAAGAGGGAGAGAGAGAGAGCGGGGGTGGGGGGGGGGGTACAGACGAGGGTGGGGGGGGGGTGTGGGGGGTGTGGGGGGGGGGGGGGGGGAGGGGGGTGGGGGGGAGAGGTGGGGGTGGGGGGGGGGGGGGGAGGGGGGGGGGGGGGAGGAGGAGGGGAGGTTGGAGTGGGGGGTAGGGAGATGGTGGGAGAGAAGGGAGACGGAATGGAGATGCGGGAGATGTGGGGGAGAGAGGCGTGGTGGAGATCTGGGGGAGAGAGAGAGAATGGAGAGGGGGGGGAGGGGCGAGAGGGTGGAAGAGAGAGAGGAGAGGAAGAGAGGAGTGATAGGAGGCAGTGAGAGAGGAGAGAGAGAGATAGAGAGACGAAGAGAGAGAGAGTGGAGATGGTCAGAAAGGAGGAAGAGAGAGGAGGAGGATAGAAAGAGGTACTGAGATTAGAGAAGTAGAGATGAGAGAGAGAGAAGTGGGAGCACGAACTGAGAGAGAGACGAAGAGAGAGAAGAAGAGAGGGGGAGTGAGGACCGAGAGAGAGAGAGAGGGGAGGAGAGAGGAGAGAGAGAGAGAGAGGGTGAGAGAGGGAGAGAGAGAGAGAAGAGAGGGTGAGTGAGGAGAGAGAGAGAGAGGGGTGAGAGAGGGAGAGAGAGAGAGAGAGGGGTGAGAGAGGAGAGAGAGAGAGAGAGGGTGAGAGAGGGAGAGAGGGTGAGAGAGGGAGAGAGAGAGAGAGAGAGGGGTGAGAGAGGGAGAGAGAGAGAGAGAGAGGGGTGAGAGAGGGAGAGAGAGAGAGAGAGGGGTGAGAGAGGGAGAGAGAGAGAGAGAGGGGTGAGAGAGGGAGAGAGAGAGAGAGGGGTGAGAGAGGGAAGAGAGAGAGAGAGGGGGTGAGAGAGGGAGAGAGAGAGAGAGAGAGGGGGGTGAGAGAGGGAGAGAGAGAGAGAGAGGGGTGAGAGAGGGAGAGAGAGAGAGAGAGGGGGGTGAGAGAGGGAGAGAGAGAGTGAGAGGGGTGAGAGAGGGAGAGAGAGAGAGAGAGGGGTGAGAGAGGGAGAGAGAGGGGTGAGAGAGGGAGAGAGAGAGAGAGGGGTGAGAGAGGGAGAGAGAGAGGTGAGAGAGGGAGAGAGAGAGAGAGAGGGGTGAGAGAGGGAGAGAGAGAGAGAGAGGGGTGAGAGAGGGAGAGAGAGAGAGAGAGGGGTGAGAGAGGGAGAGAGAGAGAGAGAGGGGTGAGAGAGGGAGAGAGAGAGAGAGAGGGGTGAGAGAGGGAGAGAGAGAGAGAGAGGGGTGAGAGAGGAGAGAGAGAGAGAGAGGGGTGAGAGAGGGAGAGAGAGAGAGAGAGGGGTGAGAGAGGGAGAGAGAGAGAGAGAGGGGTGAGAGAGGGAGAGAGAGAGGGAGAGGAGAGAGAGGGTGAGAGAGGGAGAGGAGAGAGAGAGAGGAGAGAGAGGGGAGAGAGAGGGGTGAGAGAGAGAGAGAGGGGTGAGAGAGGGAGAGAGAGAGAGAGAGGAGTGAGAGAGGGAGAGAGAGAGAGAGAGGGGGGAGTGAGAGAGATACATGAGAGAGAGAAAATGGTAAGAGAGAAAACTAAGAGGGATGAAGTAGAGAGAAAAAAAGATGATAAGAGAATAGAAGAGGATGCAATCAAAACTTTCTGCATTTGTTCTTTGTAAATAGACCTCCAAGTTGAAGAGTTCCGAGGGCCGAGTTGTAGGCCACAGGTCCGCGCGCGTAGCCATCCTTCAGAGGTCTTGTTTTATGCATGCTGTGTCGAGTTTATGATTGAGAGAGAGAATGAGATTGCTTGAGATTGCTTTAGCTGAAGAAAGGCTTAAGTGTCCAAGATCAAATGATTATTAGAAGTTCAAGCTCTGCGGATGATGCAGCAAAATGACTTAGGGCTTGAAGATTATGTAAACGAGAGAGAGAGAGAGAGAGAGAGAGAGAGAGAGAGAGAGAGAGAGAGAGAGAGAGAGAGAGAGAGAGAGAGAGAGAGAGAGAGAGAGAGAGAGAGAATGAGAGAGAGAGAATGAGAGAGAGAGAGAGAGAGAGAGAGAGAGAGAGAGAGAGAGAGAGAGAGAGAGAGAAAGTGGCCTTTAGAGTGATGATGTTATCAAGGCTTTCAAATGCCAGCTGTTTTTGTGCATGAAGGAGTGTGCACAGACAGATGACCGCCCTTGATTTTACAGCTTAAAGGATTGGATTTGAACATATTGGAGTGTAAACAAGGATGAGAGAGAGAGAAAGGATTAAAGAGCTTAAGTGAGAAGGTAATGATGAGCAGATAAAAGGAGCTGAGTAAATTTATGAATGAACTCTTGAGGAGGTGAACGGCTGCCTTGCATAGTGTCGTGAAGCAAGTCACGGAACTGTCTTTCAGAAAGGCTTAATAGTTCATTTAGGTGGTAGCTATATGTTTTCCTTGAGTTTTCCTGTGACATTTTGTTTACTAAGGAAACAACTTTAAAAATCAAATGTACAGTGCAAGGAATTTTGTGCGTGCTGTTTTTGATAGGTGCTGCAGTACTCTGGGCTACCTGGGACAGTACCTAGAGCTGCTGCAAGACTGTTTCCGTGTACCCTGTGTAGTGTATCACTCAAAAGAAATTACTTGAATTAGGTTATTTATTTTATTTATTTCATTTTTTTTTTTTTTTTTTACTTTCGATATTGTTTGCAAGTATTCTTCATGCTTTTTATTTGAGTTCAGTTACTCTCATTCTTCTTGTTTTATGTCATTTAAGCAAATAACTTAAGTTTACTGTATTTTGAGTAGCAGCCATTTGTAGAACGGGCAAACAGGGACAGTACTGTAAAGTTTTGGGCAAGATAGGGGGTTAAAGAAAGAGTTTAGGTACCATGTCAGGAGTGGGAAGAGCCATTGACACAGAGCCTTGCAAGGAGGAATGTGGAAATGCATTTAGAATGCATGTGGAACACTTGGTGATGTAGTGATTTTTTTTATTATCATAATCCTTATTTACCCATAATGAGAATTTTTACAAAATGCTTTTGCCAGTTAAATAAGGTAAAAAAAAAATTGAAAAATGGTGAATACTATATATATGAAATGAGAGAATTCTTATCTTGTCATACCATTTATCCTTTATTCCAGTTCTGCCTCCCGTTCTGGTGCCACGCCACTCTGAGTTTGCGCCCGGCCACTCACTCCTGACGTTCCAGCAGCAGCACCCGGAACCCATGCCCAACAATGTCTCGTTCTCACAGAACGGTTTTGTGCATTCCCCCATGGCATCTCACCCCCAGATGGGAAGCCAGACCATCACGGGCGTCAACCAGCCTCCCTCGCCGGTCGTCAGCCCCTCCAGCCAAAGCCCCCTCAGTCCGTACTGCAATTTCCCTGGTATGTGTTTGAATTGACCTCTGTGTGGTCCTCCTCTGCTCTCTTCCTTCTCACCTGTATATTCTTTTTTCTGTTTTTCTGCCTCCCTTTCACAGCTAAATCCTAACAAGCCTTCTGCTCCTGCAGTCACTGCAGCAGAGCTTCTTGTAGATGCCTGGTTGTTGGATCCTGGAATGTGTACTTGTAGTCCTAATGGTATTATCAAGGAAAGGATTCAGGCAACTAGTAGGTTCTGTGGTTCCTGTTGCTCTTCCAGCTGGGTGACTATTGTAACTTTTGTCAAAATCATAGGATTGAGATTTGGTTTGTTGGTGTGTTGTATACATGCTCTTTTCTTGCAGTTTCCAAATTTGATAGTGTGATAGACATCTGGGGTTCAACTAACACTAGGATTATCTCACTGTCTGTTACTGTTCTGATCTTTATTACAGCCCAAATATTTCTATAACCTTTAGGTTGAGTATTAACTAATGAGACTATTAATTGCTTAACAAGTCTTTTATTTAATTAGTAGTGATAGTCCATCCTGTAGATGGTTGTTAGTGTCATTAATACATTTTAGTTGGGGGATACCATCATTATAGACAGCTAGTTGTGTGTGTTTTGCTTTTGGAGGGTGATTTAAACTGTACATCTCTATTAACTGGACACGTGGCTGCACTCCAAGCAGTACCATTTTCTGTGATTTAACTGGTGTTAAGAGATTGAAAAGTCTTAATGGAGAAAATCAGAATAAGAAGAACAGGAAAGAAATGATCAGTCCAGAAATTGTTTGCATTGATACCATGCTTTTCCCCTCACAGGAGGTGGAAATCTGAGTGGCCTGAACCAGCCACCGTCTCCTGTTGTCAGTCCATCCAGTCAGAGTCCTCACAGTCCTTATGCCAGTACCCCGGGTCAGTACAGGAGGTCCTCTGCTCCCCCTGAATCCATTTATGTATTGATATATTTATTTACATATTTATATTTTACTTCCTGCATCTTTTGAGGACAATGTCCATGACAACCCAAGGGTTATAATGCATGATTGCAGGTAGACAAGGAGACAGAATTTGTGGAAGAGTGGAAACTATACTTGTGGAAGGTTCTTGGTCCCCCTTAGGACTCTTAACAAAACTTTGATCAGTAAACCAAGATGGACTTAATCATCTTTAAACATAACAGATATAGTTTTATGGGCAAATTTTGTGATTTGTTTCCTCTGAATGCTGACACTTGTCTGTGCTGCTGTTTGCTTAAAAAAAAAAAAAAAAAAAAAAAAAAAAAAAAAAAAAAGTTAAAGAATAGAACATTTTGATACCTTCTGCATCATGTGCAAAGTCCTTTAACCTTTTCATAGTCTTAACTTTTATTTAAGGCCAGTACGTATCTCAAATGGTCTCTGATTTGTATATGTTGTGTATGAAATTAAGATCAATTTTGTAAGATAAGAAAATACCAAAATTATCAAACTGAGTAAATCATACAAATTTGATGCATTCTGTGCGGTAACTAGATGTGTTTACCACCAAAGCAGATACACCACCTCCTGCGTACAGTCCGAGTGAGGATATCAAGCAGACGCAGCAGACGGACACTGCCATGGACATTGTTCCCGTGGGGACAGCGATAAACTCGAATGTCACACCTGTCACATACCAGGTAAGAGAAGATAGGGGAAGGCTTAGAAATAGTTTTTCTAATGTTTATGGAGAAGTGAGATTACCTGCAGATTTTACGAGTTGATTTAATTTTTAAAATTTTTAAAGTCCTATTCTTGAAGCCAACATCTTAAGGTGTATGCAGATAGTGTGATCCAAAATCTTTTCAATTTTACAGGAGCCAACATACTGGTCAAGTATAGCGTATTACGAGTTGAACAACCGTGTGGGAGAGGTCTTTCATGCCCACGGGCACTCTGTCATAGTTGACGGGTTTACAGACCCCAGCAACAACTCAGAGCGCTTCTGCTTAGGCTTGCTGTCCAATGTTAATCGTAATTCTACTATTGAAAACACAAGAAGACACATTGGAAAAGGTGAGTGTGAGGAAGAGGACACTGGGGGATGTGTCGAGGCGGTGACTTGTGTTGTTTGTGCTAGGGAGGGGGGTGATGCTCTTGCACATTGCATTATGATTTGTAGGTCATTATTTAATTACAGCATTAACAATTTCTTCATAGTTGCCATAAGAAATAGATTGATAGATTAATGGAAAAAACTACAAGATACTGACTACTACACGTTTGCAGGAGTCCATCTCTACTACGTGGGAGGGGAAGTGTATGCCGAGTGTCTGTCTGACTCGGCCATCTTTGTGCAGTCACGCAACTGCAACCACCACCACGGCTTCCACCCCTCCACAGTGTGCAAGATCCCACCAGGCTGTTCCCTCAAGATCTTCAACAATCAGGAGTTTGCTCAGCTCCTCTCGCAGAGCGTCAACCATGGCTACGAGGCTGTCTTTGACCTCACTAAAATGTGTACAATAAGGTGAGTTTGTGTCATGTTGCTTGAGTATGATGGACAGGAAGAAGCTTTCATTTGTTTTATTTGTAAAAACTTGATGATCAGTAGTAGTATTATGTTTGATGATGTAAGGAAATTCATTCTCTCTCTCTCTCTCTCTCTCTCTCTCTCTCTCTCTCTCTCTCTCTTTCACTCTCTCTCTCTCACATCCCCAACCCCCCATTCTCATACAGAGTTTCTTAATGTGTTCATATTTGCCACAGGATGTCATTTGTGAAGGGTTGGGGTGCCGAGTACCACCGACAGGATGTGACGAGCACCCCCTGCTGGATTGAGATCCACCTGCATGGCCCTTTACAGTGGCTGGACAAGGTGCTCACGCAGATGGGTGCACCCAATGACAGGATTTCCTCGGTTTCCTGAGTCCTCCCTCTTCGGCCATCTCCTCACCTCACCTACGTCGCTTGTAACTCAAATGCTCCTCCTACACAATTCCCCTCACATGCTACTTGGCAGTTTTTATCTTGTAGACCTTTGTAGCCTGTTCTTGTCTTTGGTCTGCCTTAATGTTTTATGATGTGCCATTATTATTGTTTAGTTTTTTTATCATTATTATAATTATTATTACTATTGTTTCCCCCCTTTCCCCCAAGGTTCACGTGCGGTGTGGCCTTGCTCTATGTTGCATCACACAGTGTGATACCAGCCTTAAAAGATGGAGACTTTTAAGCCAAAGTCTTTGATATTTTTTTATGTGTTTCTTGTAGTTGAAATACAATAGGCCATGTTGAAAGTGGAAGTTACAAAAAAATAAAATAAAATAAAAAAGTAAAAAAAAAAAAAAAAAAAATGTAGTATGAGTCACAGTATAACAGAGCACAAGTGCATGTACCACCCGTTTTTCTGATCTCCAATGATAGGATAATTTTTCTACAACATTTAACGGCAATACCCTCTCAGTTCAGCATTGGGGCTATTGAATGAGGCTTTCCTTTGTTTCTTTTCATATTTTTTTTTTCTTTTTCTTTTTCTTTTTTCTTTTTTCTTGAGATTTGAAAAGGTCATCATTGGTACAGCTTTTGGCATAACA